GTTTTACTTTACCAAAAATCCAAAGCCACCTTCAGTTCAGCGTACAGTAATATAGAGAGCAATGCAACTTCCAAATCCTATTACATAAATAAATAATATATGTATATTTTAATGCTACAAGAGCATTACATAAAAGGAAACGAACTAATCAATAAGCTGGTGTGAGAGGGTTTCATGGGAGGTAAAGTGAAATGTTGACACTTATCTGTTATATTATGAGGATATTGTTTGTTAGTTCATGATGCATTCAGTCAGTCTGACTTGTTATTATTATTATTGTGTGTTTGTTCTATAGACCCTGTGTCCGTTGTGTTTTTCTTGTTTACAAGTGTATGCGCCATTACGTGTGTTTGCTGTCAGTGTATTGTGATGAGTAATGTGAATGTGTTTATTTGTGTATATAATATTGTCACCATGTAAACTGTGTGGACCCTGGGGACAATAGGGACTGTTCTAATCTAATGGGGATCTTAATAAACAAACAAACCCATGACCCCTGACTGCATTACTTATTTTATGGATATTTCACATTATATTTAATACATGACAATAACTGTACAGAACAACTGATAATACCTGCAGGAAGTTTGTGTAAAACAAAAGATTTGGATGAATTCTGAGCAGATTATTTCCTTTAAATATTGCGTCAGTGATGAGTTTTACTGATATTTTTAGAAACTTTTTATACAATTATCTGTCTGTATTATGTTTTTCCTTTATTTTTTAACAATCATACAGCCTTAATAGGCTTCTTTTTTGACAAATGTAATGTTTTTTCCCCCTGACACTGCATTGTTCTATTAGCTCTTTGGTTCTTGTCTACTTTTATCTTTGGGTTTTGAATTGCTGCTCAGACAAAACAAGACATTAGACACTCTGAAAATCTAGGATGGGCATTTTTAATTATTTACTGACATTTCATAGACTTAATGATTGATCATTAGCAGATGCATCAATAGTCAGTTTCAGCCCCCAACAGATGAACTTTCCAGTCACAAATGTATAAAGAAAATCTTTTTCTTATCCACTAACTCTTAATAAACGCTGATTAGAAAACGCAGTATAATCTGTTTTGAAATGCATCCTCAAACACTATCAGACCCTTCGGCTCGATGGCCTCCCTAATCCATATCTCTGCTCGCTCCTTCTCCACCATTACATTGTGTCGTAACCAGTTTGCTGAGTGAGCACCAGCTCACTCTCATCTGAAAACAAGCCACGTCTTTGTGTCACAGTGAAAGCAGCTGAACGATTGCTTAAAGGTCATTACAAATCCTGTGCGGTTCTTGTGGCTTCCTACTTCAAATTTCTTTTACTCTCGAGTGCTTGAAACACTGGCAGACAAGGAAAGTGATTCAGCTGTAAGTCTGCATGAGGAATGTGTGCAATCTTACAAATATCTCGGGCCGTTATTGACTCAAAACTGAACTTTGGAGGAAACTGTGAAGCCGTGTGCAAAAAGGGGTACCAGTGTTTGTTTGAGGAAACTATTTCTACTCTGGGGAAACCACGATGACCTTGTTTTATCATGTTTTTATTGAATCAGTTTCATCTTTTTCTTTGTTGTCAGGGTTTGGAAAGAACAGAAACTCCCTCAGTCAGATTGTTAAATGGTCTAGTAGGCTGATTGGTGAGTCACAGCTTAACCCAGAGTTACAGCGCATAACCAGCTTGATTTTAAATGACTTCCACCTTTTGCACAGTGAATTTCAGCTTCTTCCTTCTGGATGGAGGTTTATAGGTTTATTAAGAGGTTTATTTTCTTGTTTTTACCGGCATTTGTACCTTATTCAGTCTAGTGGTTCTTTATTTTAGTGGTTCTTTATTGTTCTTTCTATGTGAGTCCTGATTTTTAGATTCTGGAGCACTTTTATCTTTTATCCTTTATCATGTTTGTTTCATGTCTATTGTCTGAGTTATTTGTTGTGTCTATATTTCTCTCAGGAGGAGCAATGCCTTGTCTTATAATAGAAACCAAATCTACCTACGGGTAAACAAAGTAACCTTGAACGTGTGTGTGAGGGTGGATTCACAAAAGAATTAAAAATGTGTCTAACACATACAACAGCAGACATGAAACTCATTCTAAATAGTTTGTGCAGCAGAAACTTTAGAGATAATTCAAATGCAGCTGGTAAACAATCCAATCAGAGAAAATCCAAAAGCATCAGAGAGCCCTCATGAGCGTATGTCACCCGTGCAAACAGATAAAACTGAAATCTAACTCATTTTGCATCCGTATGAACATGTTGCCTGTTCTGCTCCATAAAGACTTGTTTGTAATATGTCATAGCGCCTGGCAGCTGTGTTGTTTTGTTGTTGTATGGTGGCTCTGAGGGACAAAACACAGCAATGTTGGACCACAACAACAACAAGATAAAAAGGGAAACACAAACAAATAACAAACAAATTACCAAAACAAAACAAACATCTAAGATACAAGTTAAATTAAATTAACTTAGAGGGGGTTTAACAGGATATAATGCAAGTAGTTCAGAGTCTGAGTGCACTTTTCCAGCTGTCTTAAGTGATTTATAAATGGCACAAAGCTTGGAGCAACTTTAAAAAATCTACACTTGTTGAATGTAAAACTTTACCTGTAATGAAAATATTATCATAATAACATCTTTGTTTTGCGTAAAAACACCAAACGTGACAGGTTTTACAATCTTTGTAACTAACTAACCGCACGTGGATTCTGTCTCAGAAAAGCTCAACAACATTACAGGTGTAGAAAAGAGATTTACTATCATTTTGGCAGATTTTATACATACATTACTGTCTTATTAAATCTCTCTCTGAAGAATTCACTGCTGCACTGGATTATATTGCTGCATATTGAACCATGATTGGCCTCCAAACTTGTGATGTCACAAAGTGAAGGTCAAACATCCAAGTGAAGTGAAGCCAAAAAAATTATTGAGTGTAGGGTGGATTTATTATCATAACGTATTATTCTAACTAATTTATTCATTTAAACTGAATTCCAAAAATGTTTCAGATTAAAAACAGAAAATACTTTCACGCGAATATACAGTACAGTATTCGCTCTTATTTTGAAAAGCGAGGACACAGCGGAAGTAAACAGTAATCACGTTACAACCCGGAAGAATTGCCCTTTTTTTCTCCGATTAACGTTTGAATAGACAAGAATGACCAATTTATCTTGTGAAGCAACGACTGAACGCGATGCTGCTAACATCGCACGGCCTTCGGTGATCATATCTGTGTGTTAATCTGGTCTGCTGGAGGTTTTTAGAGGCGGTCGAGTGCGAGCAGCAACGCCCTGATGACAACCAGCGCGTCGGAGGAAAACACCCTCGCTCTGTTTACAAATCGGCTGAGAGCGATTGTTTCCCCGCAGTGTTTCGTGAGCTAATCGTGTAAGGTTGTTGTTGTTGTTGTTGTTGTTGTTTTTCCGTACGAAGAAAACATGGCTGAGCTGCATGTTGTGGAGCCGAGCGGTACTGGCACCATAGAGCCGCCGGAGCACCGCGACGTCCGGGGCTCCGTGCGCCTGGCTTCGCCCACTCTCATGGTTCCTCCGCGGGGCAGCCAGCTCAGTCCCGGCGGGGTGTCGAGCACCGGCGGCAACGGGAGGTCGGTGTTCGGGTTCCCGGTGAAGAGCAACCCGAGCTCCCCGTCCGAACCGGTGGAGAAGCCGGGCTCATGCTGGGTTCGGCTCAACGTCGGTGGGACCTACTTTATCACGACCAAACAGACGCTGTGCAGGGACCCGAAATCCTTCCTGTTCAGACTGTGTCAGGAGGACCCGGACCTGGACTCTGACAAAGTGAGTCCATGAAGTCTCAGTAGTGGGCTTTATTTGATTTATTTATGGTTTTAATCACTGTAGAGGTCAGTACAATGTATGTTTGTGTCTTCATGATCACTGGTGGCAAATATTTGATCCATTTGTCCCAGTTATAATGTGTTTTTGAGGCATTTCCTCCACTTAAAACTGGTTATTTTCAATGTTTGTAATGTTATTAATGGTATTTCCAATATATCATGGTATTAGAGAAAATGTACACAAAGTTATTATCATATTATCAAACAAAAGGTGTTTTTTATTATTAATCCATCCACTTGAGTGAACATAAAAGTGACAAAGTGAGTACATAAAGTCTCAGTAATGAGCTTTATTTAATTTATTTGTAGTTTTAATTACTGTAGAGGTCAGTAAATATCAAGTAAAATGTACGTTTGGATCTTCATGATAATTGGTGGCAAATATTTCATCAGTTTTTACCAATTACAATTACTTACTCCAACTAAAACTGGTTGTTTTCACTATCATAATATTAGAAATGATATTTCCAATATATCATATTACATCAAATGTGTGCTACGTCATTATCATATAAGCAATCAAAGCCAATAATTGTGCTCTACTGTTATGTAGGATTGCATTTTTTATAGATTGATCCACTTATCCAGTGTCTTTAATGTAAACTCTTAATTTGTAAAGTAACTAGTAAACACATCTGTCAAAGAAATGTAATGAAGTGTAACATTTCCCTCTGAAGTGTGGTGAAAAGTATAAAGTGAAATTGATCATTTATACTTTAAAATGTCCAGAATCTAGAAGCCAGATTTTATGTCTTCAAATCACTTATTTTGTGGATCCAAAGATATTGAGTCTCAACTGAAGGTTCACTCGTTGCCACCATTATGAGAGATTCAGTTCACTTTCCCATCAGACAGAGAACAACACCAAACCCTCACAGCTGAGAAGAACTGGAATTAGGTCACCGTTACGGTTGTGTATTGGCCTGAATTTGGAGATACGATACGTAACACGACACAGGTTACAATTCAATACATTGCTAAACTGTAAGCGGCGAAAGGCTGTGTCAAATGCATAAAGAACACACCTCAATAAGCATAAGATCTGTACTTTTACTTTTTCTGTGCAACCAGTGGGACCTGCATTTGTATTGATCACAGTCTCTGTAACGTCCAGCGTCTCAGCCTTCAGTTTATATTTACAACACTGCTGTATAGACGTTGTGCAAAACAAACTTTACTAACTATTTTCATCAGATTTTAATTGCAACTTGCTTCGAATCAATAATAAGTTAACATCATGAGATCGTATCTTCACATTTATTCCTGATGAGTTTCTGGTCTCAGTCTCTAGTTTCAGTCTTCTTCCATACAGAATGATGTTCATTTAGTAACTGATGGTCCCATTTAGAGTCAAACAGACCAT